TGGCAGACCCTGGGAACGAGATTGGAAAAAACATTGACGTCAGCGCGCCGCGGGGAGCTCTCTCGAGCGCGTCGCTCCCAGAGCCCCCCGCGTGGCGCCAACATCAATTTTTTTTTTGCTGATTTTTCGCCGAAAAGGATGGACTGCTCATCTTCTTTGTTTACAACTAAGATTCTTGGACAATCAGGAAACGTCAAACCCCGCAGAAATTTTCGCGTCTCTTGCTGCATTAGGCTAATCTTGATTCGATGCAGACAGTAACATGCAGTTTCCACAACTTGCGTAAATTGCTTTATTGTCAACATCTGTCTACTGAGAAATATTTCACGTATTTGGTTTTTGTACAAAACTACATTTCGCATTTATGAAATTTGTGTACGCTCATTAATTCTATCTAGTGCATGTCAATAGTAACTTAAATAACCATCTTAAATATTATCGCCTTGTGGCACGGGAATTTCTTAACGAGAGATCGCTGAATTCACTCTTTGAGTATACTTTAAAAGGAACGCATTCATTGCCCGCCAAGCAACTTGAACTCAGAAAAGCTGTTTCAAGTTATCGACTGAAATATGAAAGCTATAAAATTTTTTTTTGTGTTGTTATAAAATACAAAACACATTTACAACTCGCTACCTACCAATTAAATGCAATACATAACAGTTGTTATTAATAAATAATCAATCACTGGGTGAGTTAACATAGGTTTACAGTGCTTGCACCCCGTTGACAGTTTGCCCCCTGAAGCGAAGCGAGTTAACCCCAAACTTTACCAGTACAGAAAATGTACGTTGCGATGTGCTTCACAATCTGTGTTGGAGAGGTGCTTCTCCGCTAAAAATAGAGTCAAAACACTTAGATAAAGACTGGAGTAATGTCGCAGTCACGATAGACACGCGTCTGTCACGGTCACCCCTTTACACCCTAACATCAGTATGTATATTCTCCATACTGTTCTCTATACATTTCCTAAGGTGCTGACAAGGAGAATTTGTTTAACAATCAAGAGCTTCTTCAGTTAAAGGTCATTTCTTTGATTCTGGCGACCTTACAGTGTGATTTGGGGGTGGTGCTGTGGGGAGAAATCATATGCTAGTCACTCTTAAGGATTGATCAGTTAACACAGTTGCTAATCTGCGAGTTGATGGAACTTTGCTGTGGCTTTGCTGTAAAAATTTCACGTTGATCGTTATAATATGACTTCAACCGTTCAAACGTTCTGCCGTAAGGAAACAAGTCGAAAGATTTTGGGGGCGAACTGGCAAAATAGAGGAGAAAACTTGAATTTTGTTTTGCTACAGGGGGCGAACTCGCAGACGGTATGCGACAAAGTTGCAATGGGGAGAAATCTCCACATACTTCACTGCAAACCATTTGGTATACATTGACGTCACCGCCGCGGTCGTGGTTTTCTTAAGATTCTTAATACAACGTCGCATTGGTCATCGACTCGTCATGAAGACGCCACTGTCTATTGTGTGAACTTCCAAGGCTCGAGTTAACCCCAGCAGAGCCAATCAG